CTCAACAAGGCTTAATTCTTTCAAGTCTGCACTAAGTTCAAAAGCTCTTAGGATTGGATCCTCCTCTGTCAACATTATTAAGGCAGGACTGGCCAAACACCGGTAAATGTCAAGACGAAACCTGTAACAAAAGAACAGCAAATAAAACAAAGATGTTTTATTTCATTAGCAGCCCCAAATCAGGACCTGTTTCAAAGGTTTGCCTGAAATGGCCAGCTGAAAGACAAAACAATTGGGTTTTTTAAATCAAACACTAACTAACTGCATGAACTGCAGGGTGTCCTGAAAGATACATGACATATTTAGAACCCCTAAGTATCCAAAATCAGCAAAACTGGTTGAGAAAAATTTTATTTGCATAGTCCCTATAGCCCCACAGCAAAGGTAACCAGAATGTTTGAGACACACCTGGTAGAAAGGAAAGGCACACAGTGACTATGCACAATGACTAGAAGTTTAAAACCAAAATGGAACAAAGCCACTGCCTCCCACCAGCCCTTTCAGGCACAACCCATGCCCAAGAAGTACCACCCCTCACAGTAAGAGCTACAATATATTAAAGGAATCCACTCATAAATTTCACCTTAAGAAGAAAAAGGAAACATATTGAATGTGACCCAGGCAATGAATTAAGAATCTTTTTATTATGGTTTATGACTGCTAAGTCTTACCTGGAATGTCGCAGACTATCTTTTTTGTTTTTGGCAGTGCACAGTGTGCACTCACACCCCACAGCATGAGGTTTGGGTAATGATATATCTTGCTTCAACAGCATGGTGAGAATTTCATAGTTGTTACGATGAGCAGCTAAAATTACTGGTGCCACATCCATGGTTGTTGAGTACTCTGGGTTCTGAATACGTTCCATTAATTTCTGGAATAAAATGTAGGAAGTATCTAAATTTATTACCTACAGTTCTACTACATGTAAGGGGGCTTTTAATTGCTCAATCAAGAACTTCTTCAAAATACTTTCCAGTGTTTCATAACATGAACAGAAAGAAAAATATGTAACAGCATTCAAACACCTGTCAGACAAATACTAAAAAAGAAAAACAGACCCAGATACTTTTCTGGTTAATTTACACAGAAGTACTGCCTATTTTTCCAATACACACAGGATCTTAGGAATTGTTATTTTGCTCTAGTTTGTGAAAAAAATTACGTAATTTACTATTTAAGTGCAAAAAAAAAAAAAAAAATCCTGAATGTGCCATACTCTGTTACACAACACCTTATTCCTCCCCTGCCTCCACCTCCACTTTGTGTTTTCAAAAGCTTTTTGGTACTAAAGCATTGACAAGGTAAGCTTCAATTGATTAATTTCAAGGTGAAAGTCTGAACATTTGCTCTGAAAATCTATGAAGATTCAACACATGAATAAACACTTTATACGTCAAGGCTGCTAACAACCTTGCAAACAGACTACTAGAAAAGATTTATAACCACTAGGTTTTTTTCTCTTCTGAACTAGGCACGTATTTGGCAGGTATAAAGCCACTGGATTCCTTAGGTGAAAAAGCAAAATAATGTATTTCATCTTCCAAGACAAAAGAGGTTACAAAAAGAATCCCTGGTGTCCACATTTGATCACCTTACAAATGCAGAATTTAAGAACACTGTTTTAAATAGTACAGATACCAAAAAAAAATCAACAGCCTTCACAGCCCCAACCAAAAGTCAAGGAGTAACAACACTTAACCACAATGGTTGGCCTGGAGGATCGTTTTGGTCGGTGATTAAGTAGAATGTCAACAGCTCCCACCACTTCTGAGTCAATAGCCACCAAAAGTGCATCCGAGGACTAAGTAAAGAAAACAAAACATATGTGAAAACAGCAGCAACCTAAACAGCACAGAGACAAATTCAAACCAAACTGCATTTTAAAAATATATTTTTAAGTTTAATTTTGAAGTACTAAAATGATGTTCTGTATTATTACCAGGCATATGATCAGGATACAAATTCAGGTTGCCATTGCAGGAGTTCACATAGTATTAGTGAACAATTTGCATCACTGCATCAACAGAAGAGGAATCAATTGAATAAATTACTTGCCAACAAAGATGATGCAGAAGACTTAAAAAGTTAAGTTTAAAGACCCAGTTTACCAGGTCTATTAGACAGATTAAAAGCAAGTGTTAATGTAACACAGCTCAGGCATATGGGATACTTCAGCCCTGCACCTGTAATTCTGGGGCACAGCTAGGAAAAGAAGCTTTTTCTTTCTTGGCTGGTATCCAACCACTTTTGCACCTTCTGTTGTGCTGAGATAAGCAACTTTTCATTTTCCCTACAGTCGATATTATTCTTCTTGATTAATTTCCAAAAATTTGGAATTTTTCTCAAAAAATAAAAGAAAAAGACACAGCTTTTATTACTGCCACTAATTCAGGTACAGAAAAGCTTGTGGTTTTATTCATGCCCAATATCAAACAATATAACAAAAGATACTATTTTTCCCTGCCTTACATATTTAATATATCATAGCTTCACCTCTCCCAGCAGTAGCAGAGATGCTGCACACATTTAAGGAAGTCTTGTTGGTAGGAAACTGCCCTGCCATCAAGCACAGATCAAGTTTAACAAGAAAACACTGCAGCAATGCATATTTGCCCTAACTTAAAATCAACTAATATAATGTGAAGTTTTCTGTGTTACCATTTAAAAAGTTAATATACTTTACAGCCAAAGGGATTTTTGCATTTTACACTTTTTAATATAAGGCACTCACACCACGTACTTTTTTTCTTGAGGATAATGTATGCATTATATCAGCAGAAGGAGTAACATTTAAAATAAAACTCAAGCTTGTTAATACAATAGAAAATGTTACTTATACATTTGTCATGCCAATAAAAGTGAACTTGCAAGAATAAACCACTTTCATAATTACTTTTTCCAATTTACTGGAAAAACAATTGTACTGCCTAAAAGGAAGACTGTGTTTATGTCCAAATCCTGACAGATTAACAAAGAAGATATATGACTATACTCAACATTTTTAATACCATATGTTGGATACCTGGCAGCCATAATCCAAAAGCAGCTGTAGTATGTCCAAGTTTTCATTTTCAATGGTTATAGTAACAGCATTTCGTCCAAGCACATCCACACAATTTATGTTCATTTCACCTGAGCTGTTTTCCTCTAAGAGTTTCTTAACCATGTAATAGTCACCTGCAAAGTAAGGTAGGGATATCACTTCATATTATAAAGAAATAAAAGCATGGGATCCTTTTAAGTACCAGCTACCATCAAACAAGACACTATTCTATAGCTGACAACAGTCACTGAGTGAATCAGACAAGTAAGAAGTCAAGGTAGATGAGCATTCTCTCATCAGGGAGAAAACTAGAGATATTTCAGAAGACTTTCTTCAGGAAAGCACTGGACATGTATTTCTATCTACCCCTTTAATTTCATTCCTAACAACAAACACACACAAAAGTACAAGTGCTTTCCAAAACTGTCTCTAGAGTAACAAATTACTTTGCAACACAGAATACCACAACCAAGACAGATCTCAGTGTAGAATACTTGGAGAAGTACATGTAGAATACAGTAAAACACATACGAAGAGTCCTGAACCAGTTGCTACACAGACAACTGGGTTTTGTTACTTTTTCTGTTATGCAGCCTTTTAGCTCTCTGAACCTCCATTTACAGTTAAAGAGAGAAAGCCATGGCTTCCTCTGATGTTGAGGTCAGACTGCACGGGCTGTGCAGATACACCACCGAGAGTCCCCGAGCAGAACTGCTAAGCTCGCTAGCGAATGCCACTGCAGGAATGCCCCGTGGCAGGGAGCTAAGGTGGCTCGGGCGAGCACGCAGCTCCTGCAGCCCTGCCAGGCCCCGAGCACGCACAGCCGTGCAGCACATCACTAAAAGCACATCCTGGAGACCAACGTTTCAGATCTTTTAAGACCAGTTTGATTTAAGGCCACGTTTCCACTCAAAGGTAACTAAATGCAGGCTTAAATCAAGCAGCGTATTTTAGAAAGACAAATCTCTTCCCATCCGCCACCAATGGTGCAAAGCGCAGGATACTGATGTCGCTTATCCTGGGGATGTCTCAATACGCCCCAATTTCACTGCAGCTCTCTACTCAGAGACTCTTTAAACAGCGAACACCTCCCAGATTGCCCCGACACAAACCGAACGCCCTCACGAACGCGGGAGGAGCCGGCGGGCCCGGAGCCCTCGGTGCCCCACGGCACCGCCGGCGAGGGGAGGGAGCGCCGGGCTGACAGCCGGCCCAGCTCCGGCCTCGGGGCGAGACGCCGACACCTCGAGGAGCCCGGCCCGGGCCGGGTACCTTTGTCGCAGGCCAGCAGGAAAAGCTTCTCGTCCAGCGTAGTCTCCTCCTTGACCTGCCGCACATCCTTCAGCGCCAGCAGCTTGTTGGGCGAGGCCGAGGCGGACGGGTCCGCGCTCTGGTACAGGGCGGCCATGGCTCGCCAGGCCCATGCGGACCCGGGCGGGGCGGTGAGCCGGCGCCGCTGCCGCCCCTCAGC